CATTCAAATATAAACCACCATGACACTTTCCTGCATGGGGTCAATCAGCACAAAGGTTCTCATCACAACAACATGCTTCTAGGAAGTGGTTTCAGCAAAGCAGCAAGCTTAAAGAAACTAGTAAAGTAAGTGGGATAGACAGTTCATTCTGTCAAAGACAGAATAGAAATAGCAATGTCTATCTTTGGTAGTTTAGGATACTCACTCAAGCTGGTTCTGAGGTCAATCAAAGTGGTAGATCGTTTCCTTCTGCTGGTGGCAGGACACTTCAAATCTGAGTTTTGAAAACAGAAAAAAAAAGCACTCCCTTTTGCAATCCTAAGACATCATTTACAGTTTAAAACACATTCAAAACATAGTTGCTTGAAATGGCTTAATTTCACTTTCATATAACACTACTTGCAACTGATTATGGGATATCTATTAGGGAAGAAATTTAACAAACTGACTTGTTACAGTAGTGGCAAATTCAGTGAGCTCTTTTAATGCACCCGTTCTTTCATAAATGTTTGATAAGGCAGACTGCATGGCTAGAGACTGAAAACACCCGAATTCCAAAAATAAGAGATTATATCATATTCTTTATTTTCTCCTAATAATTTATGTTAGAAGCCACTAAAACACAGAAGTAGGAACTTAAAGGTTATAGTTAACGCTTTAAGGCAATCAAATTATTCTTTCTAAGTTGATTTTGAAAGTAAGCCTTTACTTTTTGGGAGATTAATGTTTCGAAAAAGGAATGTATATTTCTACAGTAGTAAATGAACAAATTTTTACAAGGCAGGGAGCACCAACAGAAGCTAACTATGTTATGTCCCTTCATTCTACTGTTTCTATATAGTCATTTTTTTAGTATGAGCTACAAGCAAGAGAAAATAAAGAGGTAGTGGACTAGCATGGCCAGCAGCAACCTAAAAAGGACTGTTATTGGTTTCCTTGTTTTATACAAGGACATTTACCATTTATAGGAGAAAATGAAATCTTTTTTTGTGTCTCTCAGTTAGTCACTGTTACATTACTTTGACAAAGTCAGTGTGATGAGTAAAGTAGGGTAACCTGTTCTATGTGGTGTTCCTGAAGTAGTGCTGGCCACAAACAACAGTCCAGCATCATAGAAAACATTCATGCTGTCCTTTCCTCCACCCGGTGTGCAGCCTGTGTCATACGTCGCTATTATTTCCCAAATCTGCGCAGAGTGGAAGCAAATCAAATGAACCATGCGAGTCTTAGATAGTAAAAGTAGACGTTATAAGTTAGGGTCTCACCTTTTATGAGACTACCATTTCCATAGACAACATCGGTAACATAAAAAAATGCATGTCTCTAAACTTTGAACCAATAAAACATTTCATAACAAACTCAGAAAAGTTGATTCTGTTTATCTCGACCTCGCATTTTCAGTAGGAGAAATGTTTTGTCACTCATCCAAATGACTTTTCCAGTATCAGCTGACTGCAACTTTCCCCAACCTTATACAGAGTACATTTGCATAATGACTGAAACTAGCACCACTGGCGAGCAATGAATTGTGAGGTCAGTTTTGTGATTATTAATATGCAAATTGTTGCGACCATTATCAACAACCACTGATCAAAGACCATTGATCAATGACCATGAGTACCATTCACAGAGAGTTGGGGAATGGCTGCAATCACAACAAAGATTAACCCCTAGGCCCTCTACTCGATTCAGAGATGGCCTTCTCTTTTTCACGTACTATGGCCTCCTTGATTTCCTGTTCAAACCAGTGTTCCTCCCTGTCCAGGATGT